TCAGAATCGGAGTTCCCAGAGCCCAAGGGGCCTAGGGGGCCTAGGAAGCCCAGACCGCGAGAGTGCGGCAACGAGAGAAGTCGCAGGCGGAGCTTTGCTCTTCGCCATGGGCTTGCCGGTGACCTACTCCCGGGAGGTGGCCATGTTGGAGGCGACGGGCTCGGCGGTTGGTGGCCCATGGGCAAGGAATTCACTCCTGCCCCCCAAAATGGCCATCTCGGCCACTTTCACTGTTGTCAGCAGGTCTTCCCCAATGGTCATCCCATGTAGCAGAACCAGCCGAACAGCTGAACGATGGAAAAGGAGTCAACCCCTGGAACCGTGGAAGCCGGTGAAACCGCCTCGCAGGAGCTGGTGAGCCAGGTGTGGCCCAAAGGGGCGCGGGCGCCCGGCACCTTTCTTCGCTTCCCTCAGGGGGTGGGGATGGAGCCCGGTGGCGTTTGGTGCTTGGCCCAGGGATTTCCATTTGGCTGGTCTTTTCCTTCTCCTTTTTTTCAGGGCCTGTTTTGGTGGTTTTACAGGCCTCCCATTTGGGTGGCTCGTTTCTTCAGTTTTTTTTTTGGTAAGGGTGCCTTGGATCGAGTTGGTACCCCTGGTTTGGTTGTTTTGGAGGAAAGCTGAAGGGGAAAAACCAACCACTTGTTAGGCCCCTTAGAAAACACACACACACACACACACTGATTTACGCTCTATGTACAAGAGCCACGGGCTCCAGTCCCCACCAATCCAACTAGGGGTTACCTGAATGTTTGGCATGTATACTTCTCTTTGCCAGTGTCTTTAATTTTGTTTGTTTGGACGGAGGATCCAGCTTCATGATGTGAAATCGTAGTCTGATGGTTGGTTTCGGTTTAGGTCCTGCTGGTCCTGATTATCCATCCGCCCGTGTCGTGCCACATTTTGTCATGCATTCCCCGAGGTGTTTTCATGGGGAGTGCCGCAGCAGTGACGTGTGTGCGTGTTTGCGTTTGCGTGTTTGGCAAATGCCTCGGATCCAACGGAACATGTCAGAGAAGCAAAGAACCAGTCACTCGCGGCCGGTTGGGATGGAATGTTTCGGCCCCTACTTGTGGATGACTAGAAATAGGCCATCTAGATCCACTTCCCGGTGCCGGTCTCTTTTAGCCATGTTGTCTCGGAGGCATGGTTGTAGTTGGGAAGCATTTTACATTTTGTGGTTCAGTGGTTGAAATCCAAATCCACTTAACTGCTGAAATTAATTTTGTTGCTCTCCTTCCAACGTCAACCAAGGAGGGCGACTTGCTCCAATTCCAAGAGTGCAGGCGTTGAAGGGGGATTTGGTGGAACCAGCTTAAGGGTCCAACTTGTTCGTGTTGTTTTTCGACATACCCCGCCCTTTTCACGTGGAACCTGATGGGGGTCTTCTGGCGCTCACGAAGGTCCTTCCTCATGCTCCGGGCCAAGTTTTGAGGGCACTTTATTCGGATTATGGCCAATTCTTCAGGGTTCTTGAAGGAGAAAAGTGTGTTTTCATATGCATTTGGCCACTTTTATTCACCACCTGCTTACTTCCGGAGTGGATTGGTCCATCTCAAAGTACACACGCCCAATCGAATCATGTGAGCCCTTCTAAGACAGCAGGAAATTCTGCAGGACATTTCCCTTTTGGTGGGTGTTTGGCGAGTTCTACAGGAAGCCCTTTGGAATCATTGGAGTCCTTCTAAGACACAAGCCTTTGGCGGGTGTTTGGCCAGTTTTATAGAACTTCCACGGGTTTCTGGTGACTTATGTCACTCCCAGGTGGAGGACATGCCCTTGCACTTCGACCTTGAGGATCGACAGCAGGCGGGATGCAGCCGAGTTGCTTTAGGAACCCCAAGACAGATGGCTAGGTTTCTGTTGACGCTATTTTCCGCTGTCGTCTTGGTTTTCTTTTCGTCGGGTGCCTTCCGGAGCCCTGTTTTAGAAGCCGTGTTTTTGCCGGAGGCTCGAGAGAACTTCGGGGTTGGGTTGGCCAGCGTTTTGCTTCAGTTGGAGCCCCGGAAGCCCCGCCCCCGCCCGAAGCAATCCATGAACATCTCGATTTGGGACGTAGGTGGAGACTCTGAATCAGTTTGCTCCTGTGATGACTCATTTTTGTCGGGTTTCAAGTACCCCACAACCTGATTCTCCTTTTGTCTAGCCTTAAAGCCTTAAAGTGTTGGTTCTCACGTGCTGTGTCCCTCATGTTGCGTGGTCCAGTTGTGCGAATTGCTTACCTTTCCGAATATTTATTGACTTTCCCTTTAAGTTGTCGTAGGCCCGCCAGGTTTTTTTCCCCGAAGGTGTGGATGTAAGAAACCGACCATTTCGATGGGCATTGAGCAATGCCCAGCTGCCCACCTCCGAGGTGGCTTGGATGGTGAACCACGCAGCGGTGGTCTATGTGCCTGAGCATCCCTACAAGAACGCCAGGGCCCCGATCCGGCCTCGATCCTGCCGTTTTTTGTTAGCGTTTGCTCACGGATCGATCGGGGGGGGATTGAACGAGCGATCCCGTGGCAACATGTACGGATTGATTGACAGCTTAGCACCCTACCCATCCGCCATTTTGTTTTGGGAGCCCTGTTTGGGGCAAATCCCCGCGTTTGGTTCGGTCTCAGTCGAGCGAGCGCTAACACTTGCCCTCTGTCACAAACCAAGGTTGCTGAGGGCAGTCCTTGTTTTCAGCCTGTGATTGGAGAACAACCAAACACACAAACTTTCAAATAAGTGGTTGTGGCTCAAAACTCAATGCCTGGAGTCTCCATGACCCTGTAAGAATAGGTACATGACCCTTTATTTTGGGTACTGACCCCATTTTCAAGGGTCATGGAGACTCTAGGTAGCCGTGGTTTTGAAGCTTTTATAGCCTTTGTTCCCACACACCAAGGTGCCATGTGGGGAATTCTGTTTTGTGAGCCGCTCTTCCCTCGCCGACTCAGAGCCAAAACGCCCAAAAACCTGTCCACGGCCAGCTCAAGCCCCTTTGCAGGTCCTGGGAACCATAGTCGCCGATCAACCGACAGAGCCGAGCTGTTGAACAAGGCCCAAGGTGTCATTTCGGGTGAGTGAAGACAGGAGAAGAGAAGCACCGAAGACAGGTGAGGTCCATGTCTTTGCGCAGCTCGGCGGCCCATGTCTTTTTCCCTTGAAGTTTGTTGCTCCTTCAAATTTGCCGCAGAGCTTGTCCCTTCCTTTTTCCCCAGAAAAAAAAAGAAAGAAAAAACATACCCCAGAGTGGCTAGAGTTGTTCAATGCATGTCTTCTTCCTTTTTCCGGGGGGTTTTCTGAAGGCAAACAAAAATGCCCCCAGAGCGGATCTAAGAAAACTTCTGTCCATGCCTCAACCTCCGACGCACCGGGAGCCGAGATCTTCCTGGACTTCTACGCCATGGGCTTGCCCATCTGCCTGCCCAGCCTCGCGCTCTTGGCGCGCGGCGCCCCGGGGGTCCAGAGGTCCGGGGCGCTGAGCGAGGAGATGGGGCCCGGGTTTTCCTCACGTCCCAAGTTGGCGGGCTTCGGTCGCTGGTTGGGGGTGGAGCATTTTGGTGGCAAGTACTTGTTTTTTCTCCTTTCTTTTTTCGGGGGGGGGGGGGTTTGCACCATTTTGGCAAATACTTCTTCTTTTTTTTGGGGGGGGGACTATTTTGGTGGTAAATGCAAAGTGTGGATGTGTTTTTGGCCATTTAGTGTGTCGGATCTAAACAGAGGCCGACTTGCTCTGGTTCCCGTTCCATTTGGTGTCTTCAATCACGGGTGCAGTGATCAGTGGCATGTCACTTTTGACAATGATGTGTGACCCCTATGCATCCCATCTCTTCGGCAGAGGCCTTTTGAGGACTTACAGAGACTGAAGCAAAGCAGTTGGAATTCTCAGGGCTTTCTTTGAGCCCGGTGAGGGGAAGCGGGTGTTTGAATTTAGCTTTTTAGACTATTAGTGTTTAGTGGTTGGATTTCCATTTAACCCACTCAAAGTTAAACTTTTAGCGGGGAAGCAGAAAATAACTGAGTTTGGATTGGGGCTGTTGACACCATTAGGATGGAGCCCAGGCGGCTAATTCTTGGTATTGTGCAGCAATAGTGCCGCGGTCGCTTGACACGAGCTCGGAATTCAGCACGGTCAATCGTTCTCATCCCGGAGACCCAGTTCCAGTTGGTGAATACACTAGGTCCCCCAGTAGTGCCTTCTTACCCTTTTGTGGGGGAGGGTTCCCTACCAAAATAGACTACAGAAAGAAATAGCCTCTCTACTGGAGGACCACCCCGGTGATCAGAAGGGATGGTGTTCAATTTAAGAGGGGATCGAAGTCGCTTTTGGGGGAACCTCTCGCCCAACAATCTCACAAGTTTGACTTCTGCGGAGTTGACATTGTGTCAAGTCTCTCAGGGCTGCTGAATGACTGAACACCTGAGAATTCCAGGCTCATGGAAAAAGGCCCTCGCAAAACTCATGAGTCCACCTTGCCGCCGCTTCGCCGCTGCTGTTTGGTTCAGCCGCGACTTTGTGAGCTGAGTTCGATGGCTGTCGGACATGTTTGTTCCAGCATGCCGTTCTGATTGGCGCCATGGCGTGTACAGGGCTCCTGAAAAGATACATGTTGCCCATTTGAAACATGGCTTTTTCCACCAGAATAAAGGGAAACCACGCAATGTTCAGGTGTATAATGTAAGGATCCCTGCGTGTAGCCTTTGAAGCCACTGATCGGACAGCTCGATGACTTCTATTCTCTTCTATTACTTCTTTCCACCGCGAGGGTATGTCTTTGGCAAGCGGCGGCAGCAGGCAGCATGTTGTTATTTTTGATTAAGGAAAAGGGATGTGCGGGAACTACGACTAAGCTAAAGTACGTCGTGATCATGGGACAAAGTGTACCGCAAACTGGGCCTGTGTGCTGCAAACTGTTCCCATGAAGAAAAAAATAGACCTCCCATCATGTACTGCGAAAGCTGGACAAAGTGATCTGGTCATGAGCAAAACGGTTTAGCCCTGCGGCAAACGGGCGGCCCAGCCGGCGAAAATGACGTGGCTCAAGAAGTTGACGGAGCTTGAGGAGCGGGGCGGGGCACTTTAGGGCGAGGTTTGAGGTTCCTCAGTGGCTCCAGTTCTTGTTCCAGTTCACAGGGAACCACAACGCCTGGTTCAAGAGGACTTTCCTTCTGGGGTGGCCTTTTTTTTGGGGGGTTTTATTGGAAACTCAGTGGCTCAGTGGCTCCGAGTCTCTTTTTCCGGCTTCTTTTTGGTGGCTGCTCCACTAAAATTGGTCCAAGCCCAAAAAAGGGTTCCAATTCTTTGTTGTCCAGGGTCACTGAACAACTGAGTTTCGGTTTCATTTTGCCCAGGTCTTCCAGCTGCCTTTTCTCACCCTTTTTCAGTAGTGCCCGACCTCTCACCCGTTTCTTTTTTGCGGAAATAGAGTACAGAAAACAGAAGCTGTACCCTTAGTCTAACCTCTCAAATCTGGAGGACCTGGTTTGATTGCTATTGGGTGTTGATGTTTGGTCTTGCCTGGGATTCAGAAGTCAGCATCTCATTTGGTAATCAAGTAGGGGCTGTATGTAGTTTTTGGGGATGCCTCATCTTTGGTTGAATTCAAGTTGGTTTTCCATGGAACCCACAAAAGTTAAACTTTTTGCAGAGGGGCCGACAGCAACCAAGGTTGTTGTTTGACATTGCAGCACTGTCCCCGAGTAGGAAAAGCAACATGGCGTGTGTTATTTTGGTACCTAAGACCTCCAGTGCTGTTTCCTGTAGTCGACGGAGGGGAACGCCCCCGCTGGACATCCACTGGAAGTTTGAGCCAGAAGTTGAGCCAAGGGAGCCCTTGGATTCGTCGGACTCCTGTCAAGTCGCGAGAAGCAAACTCGGGCCACTTCTGCTATCAGCAAGGTTTGCACAATCTTTGATCAGATTCATGTCGAAGAAGGCCCCATCCATTTTTGTTCCTCGCCTCTGGTGGGGTGGCTTGGGGGCCCTTCTCCTGGTTTGAGGCTTCCATTCAATTCGGATCCGTTCGATGTTTGGCCGCCTTCGACTCAAGAAATGGTGCTAGAGAAATAGTATCGAATTGGTCACGATTCTGAAACATTGTGCAGGCAACCTATGAAAGGAGGGAAGGAAGCGCAACCAACAACCTGACAACGCCGAAGCAGTCCTCTTCTACAATTTTCAACTGCAAGCGTCAAACCACAGAAACTCAATCTGGGTATGGGTCAAAATGCAACCACCAGGGGACAGCAGGGTTTAGTCCATGTTTCCACTTACCAGGGTTCCGTTTTGGGTACCTATGTTTGACACACACCCCAGTGATTTCCAGATCACTGATTGTTGGGCTTGAGATGCTTGAGCAATGTAATGACTCATCGTATCAAAGGAACTGAACTTCTTGGCCGTGTGTCTAGCGAGTGACACACACAGAGTTTGGCTGGTTTTTGGGACGAATTGCCCTAGCGGGCCTTGGTATTTGTATTTGTTGCGATGCTCGACCCTTCCGATCGAGTCCGGACAGGTTTGGACTGCTTGCGGTTATCTTGAATGGGGGTAAGGAATTCAACCCGTGCCCTGGGCTTGTTGTCCAGTAGTGACAGATTGCCTTTAACCACAGCGAACATATGAGCCACAATCAATACCTGCTAATAGAATGCTCTACGCAAAAATCCATGTTAGGAAACTAAAAAGCGGCCGAAACTAATTCCGGTCGGGAATGCCCCTAACCTTCATCTTCCCGGGTTTTGAGCAAGTGGCTCATATATTCTTCAGCAAATGGAAGTCAAGTTGAGGCAAACTCCGGGAAACTATCTTGAACGCAGGGTCGGGGGCCCTCCTGAAGGTGATTGAGGGCACTCCAAACAGGTGGTATCCCTAACAAGGCCCGGAGCCCCCTGGAACTGAATCCCTTTCTGGTTGCTGCCAAATTGAGGAAGGCCATTTGGTTCGAGGGGACTTAAGCAAGTAGAAATTGGGTGTGGCGCCCTGCCTGTACCATGGATCCAGGGAGTGTGTTTGCAAGGGCTCCGCTTCTGTGGAATCAGATGTGGTTTGAAGCAACGGGATCACCTTTATTCCTATGACGGGTCCTTAAACTAAAATCAACACGGTGGCGATCTCCCTTTTTGTTTTCCTGGAAATCCACCTGGAGGTCTGGGAGTTGTAAGTGTCCATTTGAGCGGAGTTGCATTTGTTTGAAATGTATTTGCTTCGTATTCGGGGGAGAACGCTCTGTACATCACTGAGGCACTGCGTAGGCAATGCGTTAGGCTGTTCAAGGAAGTCCTGTGCCAGGCAGGCTGCGACACCCGAGCCAGTTTGCGTTCCGCGAGGGCGCTTGTTGCGGCATAGGGACTCGGAGGCTTCGCATGGGCATGGTGGCCAGTGTATAGGGTCAGTTGTCCAAAGCGAATCGACCTTTTGACCTTTTGGGTTTCCCATGTTTTTTTTTTATTTTATTTGTTTAGTAGAGGTACCAAACGGTTAACCTTTTAGTTCTGGGTCCTTTGGGCTTAGGGTCAATGCACCCCTCCTGAAAAACTTTACTAGGTGGCCTGAAGCTTCGGAACGGGGTTTCCTTCCTGGCTATCGCCATGGGCCAACAGGAGTTGGACATACAGGCGGCTGACTTTTTTTAAAGGGAACCTCCCAAAATCTCGTCTAGTGTCCTTTTGGTCTTCCTTTAAAACCACCGAAAAAAAAGGGGTACCCTCAAAGCAACGACGCGCCCATATAACCTTGACTGCTATTAGGTTAGATCTTTAGACCTCAACTTTTTGTTTGAATTCCAGTTGTTTTCCATTGCACGCAAAAGTTGAGAGCTTGTTGTAGAGGGGTCAACCGCAGCAACCAAGTAACCATCATAACTTGGGCTCGTCTCGTCTTTTTTTGGGCATCCCTTGAAAAGAACGGGGGTCAAAACAAGCCGCGGCGCCACCTCATAGCTCACGTGGGCAACTCCCAGCTCGCCGCGTGGCAAAGACGCGGCGCCAGGACGACGGCCTCACGGGGGTCCGGGTGCAGGCGCTGCGCCGCTTCGCGGCGGAGCCCGCCTCCGGCAAAGAGGGGCCCCTTGGCGCGGGGGCGGGGGGGGGGGGGTGGGGCGGCCGGCCTTCGCTGGGCGGTTTTCGAGGTCGCCGTTGTTGGGGCGCGTTTTTTTGGGGGGACCGTTTGGGTGGTAAGTAACGAGGTTGGACTCTTGGTGGCCCATCTAGGCAGGAAATGAGAGAAGGGTGTAACAAACACAAGGCTAGGTCTTGGTTGACCCGAATTGCGTCAAAGAGTTTCCCAATAGACCAGCCTGCATCATCCTTCTATCAACTATGCACTTCTTGAGTCGCTTTTTTTTTTGTTCACTAAAATGGTCTTCAACAAGTATGGAGTCCAAGAACTCAAGAAGTGAGACAGGTTCTCCATCTTCCTTCTGGCACCAAGCGACGTTCAGGCCACCGAAGGCGAACACCAAGAAGAACCGGCCACGGCATAGCAATGCTACGGCGGTTGATCTGATCTTGGACCCCCTGCTGAACTCTTGATTTGGTCATGGAGAAGTAGTCGTCTTCTGAAAGTTACAAATGTTAGCTTGATCACGCCAGAGGGCAACCAAGCTGAAAGCCATTTGACAGGACTCGGCATGTACTATCACCTTCAACAGGCAATCGAGTTTCGCTTTCAGGTTTCAAGCAAGGATGTCTTACAAGGCATGCTTACGCGAGTTGTCTAAACTCCCTGTACCGGGCTCCATGACCGTTGGTGCCTACCCAAGCAATGCCCATCGATAGCTATTACTCAGAGATTTGTTCTCGAACAAAGATTGACCCCCTCAATGGGACTCATCAATCCGTGTGTATTCATCCTGCGTCAAACAAAGCACCTGCTCAGCACATTTGGAAAATGCCGGACGGGCCAACTCAAAGGTTACATTTCTCAATACTGCTTTTGTCTGTTGAAAAAACGCGAAACAATTCGAAAATAAGAAGCAAACCCAATCTGGGCTGCTGAAAATATCGAGTTGATCAGTCTAAATCCAGAATCCCCACCCGGAAACCACTGGCCGCTCCCGTCCAACTTCCTGGTTGAACTCGGGGAAATCGCCGGCACGGACGAGAAGGAGCATAGGAGAGGATGTTTGAAACTGCCGAAAGGGGACAACTAGAACTGGAACCCCTGACCCACGTGGTTGGGGACGTGGATGTATTTTATTTTGCCCTGTTCAGGTTTGTTGGAGGGACACCAACAGAAGAGCAAAAGCACGATTTCCGAGGTCTTAATTTCTACTTTGAGACATGGCCACATGTCTGCTGGTTTGGATAGTTATATCCTTATGTGCTTACTTTGAGTACGAGTTGTTTGGGTTTCGGGTCGGTTGTTCTCTTTTCGCTTGTGGTTTTGGGGGGAGTCTCCCGTTTGCTCAAGAATATTCTTTATTTTGCCCTGTTGGTTTTAAAGGGAATCTATCACTATTGCCCTGGGAGCTTAAGCAAATGGAAGTAGTGGAACTACTCGGCAGCTGGCCACTCGAGGCCGGTGCATTGGCAGCAGAGCATGGGGCGCGATGCTCAGATCTTTTGTTCGCGGTCTCAACCCAAACCTGCAGACGCCATTGCTGCGTTTCTCTAAAAAGGCCCGTAAAACAGGCTGGTGCCTCTTGGTTTCCACTTAACATCCAGAAGTGCCTGGACATGTTGATGTTCCCTGGGTTGACTGAATATGAACCAGAAACACATGACATGTTTTGTTGACGTCCCCGGGGAGGGGCCAAGATTCTACCGTCCACAAATGCCTTGCGTTTTGCCACAATATGTTTTCAGACCTTCATGACCAAACCCCCAGAGTCGGCAAATCAGCTGATCCCGGAAACCGGATCCATCCGCACCGACTTGGCAGTTTCTCCCACCAAAATTGTGGTCAATTTTCCTTGGGTTGCCCCTTTAAACCCCACCCCAGAAAGAGAATATCTAGCAGCAACCCAACAGCCCCCCCCAAGTTGAGGAAGCCCCCGGGGAAGCCCCCCAGGCCCACCCTTCCACAAAAGACGAGGAAGTTGAGCAAGGTGATCGACCTTTTTGGGTCTGGACCCCAAAGAAGGATTTAAGTCCCAATTCTTTCTGAGCCACTTTGACCTCCCTGAACCACCCAAAAGGCCATGCTCAGGGGTACCACCCTTATAGGCCAAAGTGCCTTTTTTGGAGAGGTCCTTCTAGCCCTAGTTGCTCGCTCGCATCGCAGTAACTCTGCCAGTGCCCCACATTGGAAAAGACACATGTGGCCCCCCTGAGACTTCCATTTGTTCCTTTTGGTCTCCAACTTGTAGCGGTCCCCAACTCGGAGCTTTGTAAAGCCATGGCCGGCCCCATGGGATCAACCGAAGAAACGAAGACGCCTGTTGACCCTTTGTATTTTGATGTGGGGGGTGCTTCTGCCTGGGTTTAGTGGGGAATCGGACCACTTTTGGAGGGGAACACCCCCACCCTTGTTTCAATAATACTTTACTAGGAACGGCTGTTTGAACTAAGAAGCCAGCGAATCTAAAAAGTCAGCTTTCAGCTAGCGAGTGGTTGGGCTGGTTGGCAAGCTCCCTGAATTTCCCGTGGCTTGGTTTTGGTCCAATCTGGCCAGGGCAAATATGTCGCTGAGGCGCATCACCTTGACCTGTCCACTGGTGCAGGGCAATCTGAAAGAGGCACGGGTTTTTGGAGGAGTTTCTGACTGCATCAGTGGTAGCCCACGATTCATAGGTGTCCTTGTTGGTTGTTTTGGTCTAAAAATAGATGGCACTGGTTTACCTGGTGGTTTAATCATCTACCAGGGCCATCTATTTCCCCTAAAAGGACACCTATGCCACTATTGATTCGGGGGAGGACTTGCGGGAACCGCCCAACTTCCCGACAACATCCAAACAAAAACGCCTAGTTGCCCGATGGCAGGGTCGCCATTTTGCCCTCGCCAAATTATCCTCGGAGGAACATGCAAGCCGAGCAGTATCTTTCCCAACATGCACTCCAAAACTCGCTCTTTTCACGGGTATTACTGGCAGAACCTTTTTGTTTTATCCACGTGGTATTTGAATGCCTTTTTTTAGTCAGCATGCCCCAAAGAAAAGAGTGTATCAGGAGATTTAGGGTGATGTGTTTGAACCCTCAGGCGATCTCCAAGGAGCAGCCTCTAAGACTGAGGGGTCTTGTTGTTTTTCCTTTTCAAAATGATCCAAAAGAGTTTGACGGTCACCAGCCGCTTTACAAGAACCTATCCCATGAGACCCTCAACGTGTGTATTTGGGTTTCATCCCAAAAAAGAAACCCAGGGAAAACGGATCCGGTTTTTGGAAGAAGGATGGTTGAGAAGCATGGACAAGGCATCAACCCCTACAGTCAGAGCCACAGGACTCGGGAGTCAGCTGTTCTTTGGTGCATTTTGCCAAGGGCTGTTAGGACGGACCAACTTGTTTTTTCCAACGAATTTGGGTTTTTCGAACTAAACCATATAAGAGTTATTCACTTTAGCAGGGGAGCAGAAAGCAACCGAGTTTTCTTTGCCCTTCCGCCGCGTTCCGCCGCGTTCCGCTTCAGGAAGACCTCGTCGTGCAGGCCTCCACCTGCCAGCTGCAGGCGGACGTTTGGAGTCGCCGTCCTTGTGGCGAGCTCCGGGGATAGAACGAGCGAAAGCCGTGACTTTGGGATTCTTCATTTCAGGCTTTTGACATATTGCCCAATTTGCAGATAGATGCGACTTTGCGTTTCATGAGGTTCACTAAATATGGACCAGAATCCGAACAATTAGGTATGGTTCTTGGTAGGGGGCATACATCCTTTTAAAGGTTCACTGCATATTGACCAGATTCCGAACAATTCGGTATGGTTCTTGGTTGGCAACAGTTGAGATGGGATGGTGGAGGGGGAACCTCATGGGGACACAAAATGAGATGGAGCTTCCCAAATCCAAGCCGTGGTTTTCACATCAGCATCTCCTTCAGGTGGTGGGCCAACCGTCACAACATCTCATGAAGCTTTGTTCAACGCATCAGTTCCAGCTCCTTTTTGGCAGCTTCCAGTTTCACCTTATTTCCAAGGTTAAATTGATATATCTTGATTCCCTGGGTTTCCGGATATCATGTTTGGGGGGTTGTGCCCAATTTGAATTGGGGTTCTCTCCCTTGGCAGGGGCATGTTTGAATCAGCCCTCACTGTCCGTTGAGAGAACATAGGGCCAGGGCGACCACGGCACGGGAGAGTTGAGGCATGCAGGAGCCCGCATACATGGTTGTGGTTGGGAAGCATTTTGCATTTGTTGTGCTTATTGTTGTTTAGTGGGTGAAGTCCAAATCCACTTCACGGCTAAAATTTGCGATTTGTTGCTCCCCTTCCAACGTCAACCAAGTATATGTACCCCTTGATTCATCTGTTCAAACTAAGACTCGAACAAACTTGGCTGGTTCATTGGCAGGCACACAAGGGAGCTCAGACTACCTTCCACCTAAAAAACAGCCGGTCAACTGAATTAAGTCCCCATCTTTGTGGTTCCCACCCATCCCCTTAGCTTTTTAGACTTTTAGTGTTAGTGGGGATGTCCATTTGACCCATTAGCGGGGTATCTGAGGACAGCCTAGCCATGGCTTGGGTTCTTCGTCGTGTTTGTTGCCAAATGCCTCATTGACACCGTTGGTCAGGTGCTGGTGCAGAACAAGCCGGTGGCCGCCGTCTCAGATCCATTTGCTGAAATGGAGACGTTGGTGATTTTCCCCTGGTTTTAGAGGTGAAATCTGTCAACCTATTTTCTCCTGTTTGTTATTTTTCCCTATTGGTATTGTTGTTTTTTTGTTTTCCCCAGGGGACTGAAGCAACTGGAGGAGATGAATCGCTTTTTCGACTTGGCTTCCGGGGGGTTCTCTCCCAATCGAGCAAGGGGGCCAATTGAAAACCGGATGCTGGGTTTTGGTTGGGTTTCCAAGAGGTAGGATTTCCAAGAAGGGAGTCTTTTGTTCCAACAGAGAAGGCCAATTTGTTTCCAGAAATCCAGGCTGCTTTACTTCCCAGGATACCAGGTGATGTAGACATTTGAAGGTTACGATCGGTTTGGCTGGGTGTGTAACGGGGGCTTGTAGGGAACCCTGAAACTCAGCAACCAAAGCTGGCGGTGTCCCTTTCGCCCCCAGATCCAAAAATAGGCTGGGTGGAAGATTAGGTGAACATGCCAAGGAGATAGGTGCCGTAAAAGCCGTTTCGATGTTTTTTTTTCCCCCACGCTGCGTTGGGCATCCTGGGCATCTTTCATTCGTACCATGTTGGTTTGACTATGACTCGGTTGAAGATGTGGCTGTTGATGATTCAGAGGGGCATGTTTCTTCGTCCAACATCCGTCAAAGTGAAGGTGACACAGGATGTTTGCGGCCTGATGCAAGGAATTGAAACTGCGAATTGTTTGAACAACGTGTCTGAATATAATGATATGGTTTAAGGCCGCAATCTCTATTCAGACTTTGCCTAGCTGTCTATACTATACTTGTTAGTCTTTTTGGTTTCCTTGCATTTTCCCTTGAACCAAGAAGCAGGTAGCTTTTTGCAGGGGGTATGTCCGGCCCCCCTTCTTTGTGATGAGAACATTCGTCCGAGAACTTAGTACTCGATCAGGTTGCTATTGGGCGCTATCTGCAGTGGGACATGCTGCCTCAAGGGACTCTTTGATGGTTTCAAGTTCGTTGGGGCAGGGTAAACCTTGCGTTGCCAGGTTTCATTACTGGCTTCATTTGAGTGATCCAGTTGTTTTTACTGGCCCTTTGTGCGTACCTTTCGCGCTTTGGGTTATTTTTTCGGATCCCCCTTGTTGGATTTACCGTGTTGGAGTTCTTGACTTGTCACCGTCCTTAGTCCTTTCTGGGAGATTCCTGCATTTCCCTCTTCCTTTCGTGGACGCTACCCCGCAAACTTCGCACATGTCCACGTCGCCACCGCACCCGGGGCGATGTCTGCCCACGGATCGCAGGAGGGCCTGAACGGCACGCTCTGTGGCAGCCTGCTGCCCAAGCTCTGCTACTTCAGGCCGGCGGGCCCCGGGCGGCCTCGGTGGGTCGCTGGGTGTCACGACTGACTCGGTGACCTGGAGTCGAAGCTTCTGACCCTCAAGAAATTGCTCATGACCCAAAGTGATGGGGTCATGGACCCGTTTTTGAGGGTCATGGAGAGTCTAGGTAGGTATGTTGTTTGTTTGAGTCTCCCACAACCCCGCATGGATGTCTTGGAGTGGTTATTGAGCAGCCAACAGGAAGAAGAGCACACAATTTGTGCTTGGGGTACCTTTAAACAAGGTGCAACAAATAGACACCCATCATGACCTCCACAGGCTGCGTCCGGCAGACTCGGCCGGCCCTCGGCCCTCGGCAGCTCTCCGTTGCTTTTGTCCGACGCTAGCGCCAGGCTGCAGCGGGTGGCGAGTCGCCGCATGACCCGCGGGGTGGACGAGGCTTTTCAGAGGCGCTCGCCGGGCGTGGAAAGGGCGGCTGGGTGCCTCTGGGTGTGGGAACGGCACCCCCTGCCCACCCCGTTTGAAGGTGGGGATTTTTTTGGGGGGCTGACCGATCGTTTTTGTTCTTTTTTCTTCGGGTTTGTTGAGTGGTTTGGGGTCTTAGCATTATTTTGCTTGGTTGAGTCTTGTATTTTGTTGGTGATGTAGCGTGTGGTTTTGTTTTTCAGGGTGTGGCCACCTGAAGGGTAGCTTTGTTCTTGGTCTGAGTCTGCAATCGGCTGAACGGGAAACCCACGACATACTTGCAACCGAAACGCATCGACCGGATCGAATCTGATTATCCCTCTTTTGCGCGTGTCTCTCTAGTAAGGTAACCAGCTATTTCCTGGCCCCAACATCAAACAATCACGAAGGGTTTTGTGGGTTGCCTATACAGGTATGTGGGTTTGAGCGGAAACCATGGGCACTTTTAGAGGTTTTAAGAAAGGGACATGGAGGAATCCCTGTCAGAATCGGTGGATCCCAGGCAAGTCCTGAGAATAGGCAACCCTTGGCTATGTTCCTTTTGGCTTTTTAATGTGTGGTTGTTTGGGTTGCCTTATGCAGGACAAATGGATCCTATTGGGAAAACCTAGTAACCTCAGGGTTTGAACAGTTCGAGCCCCCAATACTGGGGCCCCCCAGCCACAGGAAGAACTACGCGAGACTTTTGAGCCCCGGGTGTCTTGTTTCCCTGTAAACCAACCTGAAAAGGGGTAGCCTCAAAGACAGTCACCCACGTATTCATTTGCACCACAAGCCAGACACGCGGCAAAGCGGGAAACCCAAATACCTGTATATAGGCAACCCACAAAACTCTTCGTGATTGTTTGATGTTTGGAGCCAGGAAAATGGCTGGTTTATGTTAAACGGAACCTCACCTCCTGGTTGATCGACTTACAGGATGGATCCCGTGTTTTTTTTGTTTGATTCAAGAGAGTCTGGCAGTTTAAAGGGAACCCCACCTCAAGAGTTTGATCAACTTAAGCAAACCTCCAGTGATTTGTTCTTTGATTTTGACGCCAATCCCTGGTTCCCTTACCAAAGTGCACCTGAAAATTCCACGCGGATCCACGGGGTGTTTGACACTCGGACGCCCTTTGCCCACCGGCGCGGCGCCGCCGGTGGCCAGGGCGACGCTGGTGCTGGAGCTGGCGAAAGGCGCCCACAAGAGCTGGCCGCAGCTGCGGCGCGGCGGATTTGGAAGCGTCGAAGCGTCGAAGCGTGGATCGTTCGCCGTGTTGGGATCCCGGTGGAGTGAGGGGAAAAGGAGGAAAAGGACGGGGTGGTGGAGGATTTTGGAGCGATTTAAGTTGAAAGGACGGGTTATGAGGATTTTTGAGCGATTTAAGTTGAAAAGGACGGGGTTTTGAGGATGTTCGAGTGATTGCAGTTGAAAAGGACGGGTGAAGAGGAAAGTCATGGTGTGGATGTTGGATGAGACCTTGTTGAGTGATTTAAGGTGAAAAGGACGGGTTTTGAGGAAAGTCCTGGTGTGGATTTTGAATGAAACCTTTTTGAGTGATTTAAGTTGAAAAGCACGGGTTTGAGGAAAGTCATGATGTGGATTTCGAATGAAACCTTTTGAGTGATGTAAGTTGAAAAAGACGAGTTCTGACGAAAATGACGCTGTGGATTTTGAATGAAACCTTTTGAGCGATGTAAGTTGAAAAGGACAAGTTCTGAGGATAATGACGGTGTGGATTTTGAATGACACCTTTTTGAGTGATGTAAATTGAAATGGACGGGTGAGGAGAATGACGGTGTGGATTTTGAATGAAACCTTTGAGTGATGTAAGTTGAAAAGGACGGAGGAGAATGACGGTGTGGATGTTGAATGACACTTTGTTGAGTGATGTAAGTTGAAAAGGACGGGTTCTGAGGAGAATGACGGTGTGGATTTTGAATGAAACCATTGTTGATCGATTTAAGTCGAAACGGGCGGGTTTGAGGAAGTCATGTTGTAAATGTTGAATGGATCCTTTTCGAAACATTTAAGTTGAAATAAAGCTTGCCGTCTTGATCCTTGAGTGAGTTAAGTTGAAAACTGATTTTGAAGAAATCATGATGGTGTGGATTTTGAATGGATCTTTTTTGAGCGGCTTCAGTTGAAAAGGATTGCTTTGAGATGATGGTGTAAAGTTCCATATACGTCCTCCTTGGCATTGGGGAGATTTGACGCATCACCTTTTGGGCCAATTTCAACTGCGTTTCTTGCAACCAGCCACATCCAAGTAAACCCAAAACAAAAATGTAAGCGCTTCCGTTTCTGGGTCGCTCTAATGCCACTGTGGATTTGCCCGTTTCAACCGGGGGCGGCTTCCTTCAGATGGAATCGCTGTGACATGGGACACCTTCCTCATGAACTCAGGGCTTGCAGGATCGGCACCAGAGACATGCCCCCCGACATATCACAGGCGTACCGGTCATTCCGTTTCAAGGAAGTCTCTTTGGAAACTGCGGATTGTATGCAGCCGTGAGCAATTAGAAGAATCACTCCAAGGACCTCATTTGAAAAGGCCCGAATGGTTGTTTAAAGAACAGAAGCGCAAACCTAGTGGCGGGGCTCCGAATGGATGTGACGGGGAGGCTCCTGGCCACCTGTGGTTGCGAGATCCGTTTCGCAACCACACGCCTAAAGTGGATCAATTTTCTGGCGGTTTCCGTTGAAAAGTTCGCCACTTTTGGAGGTAGCCCAAAAAGGGAATGGAGGAACCCCTGTTTTATGGTTTTTGATGTGGATGCTTGCGAGATCAATTTCGCACCATCGTTCAGAAACCCTGGATTATGATCCGATTCCGCCTGTAAATACCCACCAAGGATGGTTTCAACCATGGTTTCTTAGGTGGTGCAGGATTTCGTCCATCCACAGTACAACCTACATAGCGCAAGCTCAAAGCTAGTCTTGCCTTTGCGAACTTCCAATCCATTTCATTTGCAGACGCAGCTTCGCCAGGCTTTGGCTTGACATCCTTTCGTTTTGCAGAAATCGGTGGTGTGGGTTTTGGTTGGAGGGGCTGACTATTTGGACATTTGTTTGATTCAGTAAACTGATTTACTGATGCGTGATTTTGCTATTGACGCTCAAGCAAAACAAATGCCGATTTGCGAGTCCGGTTCGGCCTTGGCGTAGATGGGGTTGGGAAACCGGGGCCCGGACTGTGGCAAGTGCGATAAATACCACGAGAAGGAATCCCAATCTCATGTTGGAACATGAGGCATCCAAGCCAGAGGTGGCTGGGGTTTCCCAAACTAGCTTACTTTAGGCTGCCTCTTAGGTATGAAAGAGAACTATACACATATTATGTTCTGCGTACCTCACATGGCCAAGGTATGTAACTACAAAACTGGTTATATGTTCGGCTTGACTGAATATGAAAGAGAACCACTACATATGTTCTGCGTACCTCAAACGTATGCCAAGTTCAAGGTATGTAGAAAATAGGTCTATAGTCATGCACTGTACACAGTATGTTCTGCGTAGCTCACATGGCCAAGGTATGTATACGGTCAAAGACTGCGGGTGCCTTTCGTTTCGGCCCAAGCCAAGAGCCTCCCCTGTCCCGGGTTCAGCCGCCTCTGAAGCGCTTCCGAAGCTTCCCGATGAGTGGGCTGCTTCGCTGGGGCATCTGCGGCGCTGGGAAGATCTCCAGGGACTTCGCCCTGGGACTTCTGCAAAACGGCGGCTTGGAGAAAGGCGCTGGAAGCAACGAACGAAACGGTGCCAGACGGTTTGCACATGCCAAATCGCCAAGAGTTGTTGCTTGTTGTTGTTTTTTTGAAACAGAATATCGAAGAGGTAAGTTGCTTCTGCATTTCTTTTCCGAACCCTCTATGTAGCGCCCAGTCTTTGCAGCTCAAGCTTGATGTCGTCTGAGGCTCTCGCGTCCGAAACAGAATAAGAGGGTTAGCAGCGAACGAAACAGTGCTAAGAGTTGTTGTTTGTTTTGTTTCTTTTTGACAGAAATGCGCGATAAACATAATAGCGATGAGGGAAGTTGTTTCTCGTTCTCTTTTTCCCCCCCCCCAACCTCCTATGTAGAGTCCAGTCTTTGCAGATCAAGATTGATGACGTCTTGAGGTTCTCGGGTCCATGGCGTGGCTTCTCGGGGTGGACACGGGGCGCGGGAGTTCGTGGCAAAGTTTGCGAACTGCGGTCATCAGATTGGCCGCAGCTGCTCGAGTGAATCACGTGTGGGCTACCGCTAGATGGGGACATTTCTTGTTAAGATATGTGTGTGTGTTTTTAGGGGACCCCCCAAAATGGTGGTTGTCCTTTTGGTTTCGCTTGAAAGCACAGCAGCTGAAAACACAGCCAAAAGGGTCACCGTCACAAACAGTACATACCCATGTAGGTTGTTGTTCAAAGTAGTGGTCCCCCAGGTGATTTCCTTGCGGTTTCCCTTTCTCAACTACTGCAACGAAGCGACAGAGAGGTCCGCCAGTCTAGAGAAACTCCCGTGCCCTCTTATTCACGGACACAAGAAACTTCAAGCAGCTTTTTCACCCCAATGTATGGAGTTCTTTTGACCCAAGCAGCATCCCTTGAGAGGCATTCTTATTCGACCCGTATGGGTATGGGTAAAAAAACATATACCACCAGGAATTGGAAAGATTTAGTCCTAGTTTCCATTTACCAGGGCGGGCACCCCATTTGGGGGTAACCAACTATGGTTGACCACCACGGTTGACCACCACGGCCATATCAAGCAGCCTCCAGGCTTCAACTCCTACGAAGAGATGTTTGCAGATCCCGAGTTGGACGTGGTCTATGTGGGAACCGTTCACCCCACACACTACCAGGTGGCCTTAGCCGGCATCCGGGCTGGAAAACATGTGCTGGTGGAGAAACCTCTGTGCACCACCCTGGCTGAAACCCGAGATCTGGTCGCTGAAGCTCGGAAGGCCGGAGTTTTTCTGATGGAGGGTTTGTGGACGCGCTGCTTTCCGGCCACCCTGCGCGTCAAAGAACTCCTGGAGTCCAATCGCTTCGGCCCCGTACGAGCGGTTTCTGCGGACTTTGGCTTCTATCTGCCCTTTGACGCCTCCCACCGGTTACATGCGAAGGAGACGGGCGGAGGTGCCATGCTGAACTTGGGCTTCTATCCGGTGCAGTGGGCGGTTTTTGCTTTTGGCGGCCGGATTCCGGACCGCATCGTTGCAGCTGGGCGCCTATCGCCGGCGGGCGTCGACTTGCAAGGTGGCGCCACGCTCGTGTGGAACGGCAAGGATGGCAGCGGTTCCGAGCCTGGGACTTCGGCTGGTGTGGCCAGCTTGACCTTCGGCTTCTGCTGCAACACTGGGGAAACTGCCGAGATCATCTGCGAGAGGGGCAGTCTCTTGACTGCTGTTGGTTTCGATCTTTATACTTTATCGTTTTGGGGAATCAAGTTGGGTTTTCCACTATACCTTCCATTTGCTGTAGAATATGTTTTTACTTTCCCTTGTTGGTTTTTCATTTTTTTTCTACTGGATTGTTTTCGTTTTTCCCAGGGGTCTTAACCAAATGGAAGATACCCACAAAAAGTTAAACACTTTTCGCAGAGGGGTCTTGCCAGCAACCAAGGTCTGCGCGTCGAAACGCCGGCCCACGCCCCGATCAAGCTCCGAATCGTGGATCGGTCTGCGGATCCTTTGGCGCGTCCGGGCGCCGGTTCGTATCTTTGGTGCATTTCGCTTGGATGTTACGACTTTTACTTTTTGTCAACTAATGGGTTTTCCGAATTAAACCACTAAAAGTTATTCACTTTTAGCGGGGGAGCAGAAAGCAACCGAGGTATGAAGAGGAAGTGGTGGAATTTCCATTGGAGGAACTTCCCTACCACAGCTGGGCCGAGCCGCAGCCCGGTTTCAGCTATCCTCATGGGGAAGGGATGATGTATGAGGCAAGACATGTGGAGGAGTGTTTGGCAAGAGGTCTGCTGGAATCGCCGCTGTATCCTTTGGATGAGACCCTGGTTGTTGCGCAGATCATGGACGAGTGTGTGCGACAACTCACTCAGCGCCCTGCGTGAGGTGAGTTCTGCCAATTTGGTGCCACTCAAGAGATGGCAGGTTCACAAAAAGATGCCTTGAGGCGGCTGACCAGCTTCCTTTGCTTCCATTTGCTTAAGATATGTTTTATTTTGCCCTGGTGATTTTAAAGGGAATCTATCACTATGGGAAATCTGTTTATTACTTCCAGGGGGCTTAAGCAAATGGCAGTTTTCACGAGCCAACCACTTACTGTAGCATTCAGGTTATCCGTAACTTTTGCATTCTTGACCCAGTGCTGAGGTGGTATGACAAGGAGATGAAGCACCCGGCAGCGAGGCAGCAAGCGGGAGTCGTTGTAACGCCAGCCGCTCCAGATGTGTTTCCTTCTGTCCCTTTCGCCACCCCCCTCCTCCCGAATGGAGCACGTTCATGCTCTGCCACGGCTGAGAAATTGTGTTGAAAGAGTCAAAGCAAGCTGGGCCCCATGGTTGGGGTGGGGGATTTCTCCGCCAGCCATCGCAGAAGACTAGCTCATCTTCATGTTTCTGGACTTCATACTTTTGAAAGGCCCATGTTGCACGGCCTTCCGGGAAAACGCACTTGCCCACCCACCATTGTTGTTGTTGGGAAACATCACTCTGGGGGTCACCGTATTACATGGTCGTTGTTGGGAAACCTGTTTAGTTTGTTTTTGCTGATTGTGGTTGAGTGGTTGAAATCCAAATCCCCACTGAACTCCTAAAAGTTCATATATATATATATATATTTGCTCCCCTAAACCACCGTCCACCAAGCCACCAGAGCGCGCGCGATGGCCTCCCAGGGGCGGCTATGCCTGGACGCCTGCCATGGAGGCGGCGCAGGACCGGAAGCCCCCGGAGCGAGCGAGCTGGGGTTCACTGCGTTGGGTTCGCCCAAAGGTATGGCCGTGGCTCGAAACAGGGCTCCTTAAATTACATTCATGTTGCCACCATTTGAAACATGTGGCTTTTTTCAACACCAAAATAAAAGGGAAACCGCCATTTACAAGTTGCAATGTTCAGGTGTATAATGTTTGTTGGTCGCCCCAAAGATATATGGCTGTGGTTGTCAAAACCGTTTTGGGATCCCATTTTGGTTGGTAGGGTGAACTCACCACCCATGTTAGAACCTATTTTAGTGGTTGGATTGGGATGTTCACTGGGGGTACGATTTAGATTTTGACCCACAGCCATATAAGTCTCAAAAAGTAAAGACCCTGGGTCACGCAGGTTTTAGTCTACTTGTCCATTCCACCAGGGCAAGCCATTTTGGGCCCCTCTTTTCTGACCTACAGCGCCATATTTCGACCCACACCCAGTGGATCCCAGCGAGTTTTATAGCAGCGAAAACCCTTCACAATGTTCCTTTTGAAGGATATATCGGCCCAGTGGGTTCCAGTGATATTTGTAGCAGGAAAACCTTCGCATGTTTTAGACATTTTGTTTCAAATGTCGGGTGGTTCCCCCTTGGATATCTACTGGACAGGTAAATGGATACACCGGGGAGGGGCTACCTCTGGGTGTGATCGAACAACGAAATCCTGATGGCATGATCGTCAGCTAGTTCAGTTTAACACCCAACAACCAGATTTTATTCATTTAGGCCTATACTTCCGTTGTGTTCTCCTAGGTTATTCAGAGTTAATTCTCATCCTCATGCAATACGGCAAGTGGAAGTCGAGACCGACTACGGATAGCGGATGCGGATCAGGCTGTTTTTGGGGGGCTTGCCTTGTTTGGGCGGGATCCATGCATGGGAGGTTTGGCAAAAATTGATGTTTTCTTGGGATGCGAATGTTGAACCAGAGCTGTGGCAGTTTCCATGCCAAGTATAGGCGCTGATCTCCGAGTGTTGGATGTATACTTCCCATCAACTACAAAGATAGCGTGCCCCTTCCCTTTGAAAGTGCGCTGGAGTCACTCTCGTGGCTACTGGAGGACCTTTTAGGCATATAAATCAAAAGTCTAGACTCTTTTTGGCCGATCCACTCAGGAAGTGAGTCGAGGTCTGGGAAAGCGATTTGTGACCCGGCGCTTGTTGTAATAGTAATCATAAGAATGCTAAGAGTAATAATAATTGTAGTATTAGTAATAATAATATTAATGAAAGTCATATTAATAACACTTCTCGCAAAAAACCCGTTTGTGACCTCTTGGCGCTTCTCGGCCTCGAAATTTCCCCGCGCATCCCCGCGACTCCGCGACTTTGCGCGAATCGGAGAAAGGACACAGCGGAGCGCACCCAGCTGGTGCCGCTGCACGCGGGGCAGCCCCAGCGCAGCCGCGACGGCTCCGGCGCCTCCCCCGGAGGCCGGCACCCCACTGCGCGATTCGAAGTCGACCCGTGTGCGAGGCAGAGGTCCGGTGGGTTTCCTTGGATCTTCTCTTAAAGCTATTTACATGGTTCATATCTTTGCATTTTGCTTGGATGCCAGTGCTTTAAGCTTTTGCCAACTAATGGGTTTTCCGAATTAAACCACGGAAAGTTCAACTTTTAGCGGGGGAGCAGAAAGCATCCTTGGATCTCCTTTTAACATAATTTACATGGCTCATATGTTGTAGATATGCATTAGAAACAATTGGTTTTTCCGGGCGGGGGGGGGGGGTCTGAGGTGGTGCTGGACAGGTGGAGATGAGCCCGTCCATGTTTGAACTGAGGATCAAAAATGAGTAGAATAATAGTTGTGATTCTGGGCCCACTTGGATTGTTGAGGGAACCTTGTTTTCACCCAGGAGTGATGTGTTGCGACAAGCCATGATGAAGGTACTGTAGTGCGGACATGTAGGACCACACGGTGTTTGCAGGTGATGTCTGGCAATTCTAGGATTTTGCAGAAATGTGTGGGATTTTCTTCGATATTACTATATGATTGATATACAGTTGACCCAAACATGAATCAATTTCCGAACATATCGTTTTGGTGGGGTTGGGCCAAGACGTGTTGTGAATGTCGGAAGTTTCAATGGCGTGTGATGGGTGCTCACTGCACTGCGCGATCCGAAGTCGACTTGGTTTCCTGGGGTTCCTTCTACATGGCTCAGTACCAGGGTTGTGGTTGATCACTCGGGGTTTTTCCAACCACTTCTGTGATACTTTTGGGAATCTCCCCCTTTATATGGGGGGGTAGTCTTTGGGGTTAGGCCCTTTTTGTTGTATCAGAGAAGTGGATTCCATTTCCCACAGCCCTGTTCAGTACACATGGACCAAAATCAGCATGTGGTCTCCTTCGATTTTTTTTGATGACATGGGTATGGGTCAAACTGAAAGCAGGAGCTGGACGGCAGACTTGAGTCCTTGAACCCCTTTTACCAAGGCTCCAGTTTGGTCCCATTTTTTGACCCGCACCCGCGTGCCAAGGTAAGTTAAGCTTCAGCGAATATGGACCAGACACAACATGTTTCGGGTAAAAGGCAAAAGCTGAGGTAGTGCTGGACAGAACTGGACCATGTTGAACGGAGGATCTCAGGGTGAATGGAAGTATGGCTGTTTTTGGACGCACCTGGCTTCTTGAGTGCACCTCGGCTTCCACGCGTTCACCTTCCGACAAGCCATGATGCAGGTGCTGTAGTACGGAGGTCCAGGACGATGCCGTGTTTCCAGGTGATGTCTAGCAACGTGCAGGCATATCTGGATACTATGTATATTAACAGGTTGACTAAACATGCCACAACTTCTGATCGTACTGTTTTGGTGCTCCGGGGTTTGGCCAGTATGTGTTATGAATATCGGGCGGTTCAATGGCGTGTGATGGGTGTTTCTGCTCACTGCACCATGTGTCAGTGCCAGGCTTCCTCTTTGCCGGGGGCCTGAGAGAGAGAGAGAGAGAGTGAGCGGTGGAGCTGGGGGGGTGATGTCCGTGAATGTACTTGCGTAGCTTCCTGATGCAAGCATGGCCATGGTGCACAAGCAGCACGAGTTGGAGCCCAGATGTTGATGGCATTCTGTTGTGTTGTGGCTGCAATGGTGAGAAACCGTCCCTGTGCAGCCAGGGCACTCAGGGTGCCAAGCACCTGGAGGTGATCTGTTGGCTTCCTGCCAGGGCAGCTGCGTGTTGTGGCGCGCCTCAGTCTGATGGTTTGTGGCCAAGGCGCCGGATGATCTGTGTATTGCCGTCGACACGCTGCAGGACTGCCAAGTCGTGACGGAGCCAGCCATCATATTGCATCATTCGTTTTCCAGGTCCTAAAAATATATAAAAAAGGCAAATCTTCGGCTGATCCTCCAAACTGAAGCCCAAAAGGAGCCTTGTTTCAGGGTGGCCGCAAAAGGAAGCGGAAACCACCGTGCATCGAACTCCGATGGGAAGAGCAGAGACTTGCCAAGGCTCCTGGCGCATAGCTGTAGCCCCCATCTTATTCTCGGGAGTCTGTTGCTGATTGGGACATAGTTGGCCAACCTCATGTCCATACAAATGCCCAACTGCCATGGGCGAGAAACACCAGTAACTGTAGCTTACATAAGCATGGGTATGCGTTCCACTTTAAGACCCTTTGATGGATATGTTCATGGGGATTTGCGTTCCCCAACTATTGTTTCAAACATGTTCCCTGTTTTGCTTCAGAGCCGCGGAACTTGTTTCTGCTTCCCTGCGAGGATAGCAAGACGATGACAGTGCGGGTTCACTTCGAAGCGGAGGCCGGATTTAGTTTGGCGTGGACACGCTGACAGCGACCAGATGTTTGTCCGTGGCCGATTTGGGCATATGGGGGTTGATCAAAATTATGCCCCGCAAATGACCATGGGTGGCAAATATCATTTTTCTAGTGGTTTTCACAAAGGGTCATCCCATGTAAAGGACCTTTTGATCAGCCACCATATCAGCTTCTTTTGCTGCTGTACCGCCTGGTGGAACAAGAAGGATAGATATCTAGCTCACGCCCTTTGTTGATATCCAGTGGTTGCAACATCCTGCAACCTGTTGTTGCTGAGCAGATATGGGACACTGGGAAGTGGATACTACCTCCCACCTACCAAGATGGAGGCTAAGGAAAGGGTACTGTTACTGGTTCTCTTGTTTGTCCATGAACTTAATGTGAGCAGGGGGACTGATGGTTGCTCCACTACTGGACGATAGAGACTGAAGCTTCCTGGCCAGAAACTGACGCCGTCCCTTCTTATCAAGCGCTCCAGGGACAGCGAATGCCAAAGCCGCTGGCTGTCAAAGCACACTGCTGACAATGAGCTTTGCAGTTTGCAAGGCTCTTCGCTCGCGAGCTGCAGCTGTTTGTTCGCCTCGTTGCTTCAGCGGTGTCACTTCCATTGCGAAGCTGCAACGCCGCTGGGATCGCCTGGAGGGTCTGCTGCAGCGAGTTGAGAGGCCTCGACTGGAGAGCATCGAGTTTGAGGGGGCACGATATCAGCTGCCCGTGCCAGCCATGCCAACGCCTGCCGAGAGACCCAGCGAGGCGGAGCTTGCGTATTGGGGCGGCCTTTTCGATGGCGACGGCTGTGTGACAATGACTCGCAAAACAGGTCGAATTAGGCTGACGCTTGGCCAATCTGTCCGTGGTGTTGATTTGTTGATGCGCCTGCGGCTTGCTTTTGGCGGCGGTGTCTACCGATCAATGGATGGGACTGGCTATCAATACCCAAGTGTGTGTTGGCAGATTTGTGGGACTGGCATGAAGCAAGCAGCGGCCTGGCTGGCAACGTCCTCTGTGATGAAGCGGGACCAACTTCACATTGCTTCTGAGGGTAATGTAGAACAGCAACAAAGACAGCAGGTGGCCGATTTGCTGAGCCGAATGAAGCAGAAGGACTTTGTGCCACAACATGTAGATATGTCTTGGCCATATTTTGCTGGGTTTTTCGACGCTGAGGGCTGCATCCAGGTGCCTTCATCGTGGGTATCGGTGTCACTGTCGATAGGCCAGTCAAACCCGCATGTGTTGCATTCGTTGAAGGATTTTTTGCTGGCCCAGTCCATGTCAAAGTGGCACATTCACACAAGCAGAGGTTCATCCCGCCTTGGCTGCACCGACTTCAAGGATAGCAAGCTCGCGTTGGAACAGTTGATTGCAAATGGCCTTCAGCGCAAACTTCCTCAAGCCCAATTGGCCCTTGGCCTCTCGCCAGAGAGTCACAGCGCCGTGCGCAAAGAATTGTTCCAGCTTACAGGTCAACAATCGAGATATCGGCGCGTTGGGAGTGAAGTAGCTGATTTGGCGAAACAAATTCACTGTTTAAGAAATCAACTGAGACGCTGTACTTTTGATGACAAGGCAGAGGCTTTGATGCGGGAGCTTGCGGGGCGCACTTCTGAGCGTGAAACTCGGCAGCTTGCGTACAAATGTCGGATGGTGAGCGCTGATCTCCGCCGACTGTTGTTTGAGGGAGCGCGGTTGCGGCCCTTGTAAGGGTTACCTCAGCCTCGCGAGACACAATATATCCCCAGATGTGAACTCTGATTCTGCGCTGGTGGCGATGCGTTGGTGCGACTTGAGCACATGCAATACAAGTGCAGTGCGCTTGTGCGAAACTGCGAGGGAACACGGCCTTGCACGCTGCTCAACTAGTTCACCAAGAGAAAGTAAGGGTGCCCTCAGAACGAAGCCTTCATTGGGTGAGGCCGTAATACAAACACCTTTGTGAGGTCGCTGACAGAAACATAACAGAAGAAGACGAGAAAAGCAGGCGGACAGCACAAAGTAATGAGAAGGCGGATAACGATGATATCTAATGGCAGTTCAAGTGGAGAAAAGAGCAGCTGGCAAAGAATGAGCTCGAATCAGCGAAGCTGTGAGCGCATTCCTTGAATAACATATCCCTTGCCTGAAGCGTCTCTGAAGACATTGCATCGGATCCCATAGCTTAGAATGCTGCCATGATGGGTCAGCTCGCATGTCGATCTGCCGAAAACATGAAGAAACTTATGAGGGACAGCACGTCAATGCCTCATGATACCCCAGCACCTTCCAAACGACTGCAGTGCAATCCAAGCAGCAGTGAGGGCCCAAGTCTGCTTTTTGACTCCTTAACTTGGTCTCTTCACTCGCTTTTCTATCTCCTAGGTCAAGGGTTTGTTTGTTTGGGCCATTCCTGCTTGGATTTAACGGTTAGCAATCAACTCGCTTTACTCTTCTTGGTGTTTTCCCTCCCTTCATGATCTTGAGTAGATCACTTTACCAGGTTTTGATTCTCAGGTCCGTTGCTTGATGGCCGTTCGGGCTTTTGTTTCAACCCCTCCCTGAGTCATACTAAGAACGTTGCTGTCGTTGTCCTTCTCTTGTACATGTGGTTTGATAGTTTGTTTGTTGCCCCCCTCCCAGGCCTTGCAGGTCGCCCAGCGCATCATGCCGCCAGCCCGGCGCACGCTTTCTCCGGCTCGGCTCGCCTGGGTGAGACGGAAACGTCGAGCCGGAGAAACGAATTCGATGGGTTGGCGTGTTGTTGTTTTCGAAATGTGCTCGAAATGTATTTACACACACACCCTCCATGAGGAGCGGTTTGATGAGAAGCAAATCTTGCGATGATAGGAACTTTGCTTGAAGCAAGGTTGGCAGAAGTTAAACCTGTCTTAGCTATCCTGATGCCTGGGGAAGAAATGTTCATTCACATGTGGGATTGGAAGTGGCAGTTGACCTAGTTGCCCCAGTGGACACCCTGGTCTCATTTGTTTGGGGAAGGGGTTTTCCTGAATTTCTACCCACCAAAAATTGAGCATCCACTGGGCTTCTGAGTTGGCTAAAGTCGTTTGCGGTGTTCCGGTTTTGCCAGGCTAGAGGAGCTGCTGGCTGCCGACATTCTGGAGGCCTGGCTCGTGTTTGTTGACGGCTTCCTTTTTCGGCTTGTTTGGGGTTCCCTTATGTTGACACACATACCCATATTGTTGGCACTTGCCATTTATACAATGGACCATCACAGGAAGCACTGGTCAGGGGAAAAGGCCTGCACAGTCCGGGGTGTGCCTTTATCCTGTGTTTCTCGCCCAAAAGGGATTCAACTGATCGGTTCTTCTTTTGGTTCATGTGTATTCCTATGTGTGCCTGAGCGTGTTTTTGTGTTCTTGTCATAAATTGTTTTAAACACAAGCGAATGTGGGGCGGGGTGTCCCAAAATGGGGGAACCCCAAGGTGGGTGTTCTACATGGCTTTCTTTTGTACAACAGGGTGCCCCTAAAGAAAGACACACCCATGTAACAAGAGTCAACTCGTTTTGACATATCTCGCTTGCCAGCTGCGAGGATCGCATCAACATCCACCTCCAGTGCGACAACCAGAATCCCATTCTGTGGGCCTCGCTGAGCGGCAGATGTTTGCCCAAACAGCCGGGGGCCCAAGGGATGTTGTCGGGCCAAAAGGCCTGGTGAGACCAATGTTGCACATAGATGAACAGACACATTCAAGGATAACAGCAGCAACATGGGTGGTTGCAATTTGAATGATGCCGGCTGAAACTGGCACGAGCAAGTACTTCATAGGTTTAGACACTGCGTCATTGCTTCAGGGTGGTAGACTAAGGACAACCTGACCACGACCTATATTAATAGCTTTGGCCATGGCGAATATGAGTTACAGATCGCATTGCCGAGTTTTGCCATGTCAGTCAAAACATGCCAAAGCGGCGTTTGCACTGTTGCCAGGGGTAGAGAAGTAGCAATGCCACAACACTAGCCAAAGTATCATAGTATATAGGGACCGGGGTTGGGATGATCGGTGATGATGTTCCTTTCCTTGGCGCCCCGTAAAAGGCTGCTGATTCACCCGGCTCAAGCAAGCGCCTTCCATGATTTTGTGTAGATTCCGTTGAGTCACCGGGTTGTGGCAGCTCGGTACTTGAGGCTAATGTTTGCCTTCCCTCTTCCCTATGGATCTGCGCATCAGAATCAGTCTGTACTCATAGCGAAGCTCACCCAGGGGAAAACGAGCGATGTGCAGCTTGTTGGATCCAGATTCTCGGAGCCTAAGTAAGACTAAGCCATGCATGGCCACGTTGGATCGGTTCTGCACTTGCCAGGGCGCAACCGAACACGTGGGAGGTGTCCAAGCCCAGGTGATGGAAATATTTGCCTTGCCGAAAGCGAATGCCGCAACATGTTATCATTGGAATCACCACGGAATCATCAGCCATGACTTGTTACTCCAAGTTCTCCAAACTTGCTTTATACCATCAAACATCAGATGTTCCCTCCATCAAAATGGATATATACATATATATATATATATATTGCCCCCCAAAAGCCCCAATTTTCATGGGGTGCTTCCCCCCCTCCCCTCCCCCACCCATCCTTCCCCCCACCCATCCTTCCCCCCACCCATCCTTCCCCCCACCCACCCTTCCCCCCTCCCCCCCCACCTCTCCCCCCTGCCCCTCGTTGTTCGCCTCGTCTGCTGGAGGGTCCCCTCCCTCCCGTCCTCCGTCCCCTCCCTCCCGTCCCCTCCCTCCCGTCCCCTCCCATGCCTCTCCTCGCCCGCGGCCGCTTCCGAGGAGCGCGTGGAGGCTCACCACCTGCGACCGCTTCCGGGACCGGCAGCGCAACCCCGGGGCGCCAGGCCGAGCCATCGACGGGCGCGCTGCCGACGGGGCGCTCGCTTCCCTTGGTACAGGGGCTCGCTGGGGGGATTCGCTGGGGGAATCGAGGGGGGATCGAAGCAACGGTGGGGGGGGGGGGGAAGTTGTCTTTTTTGGGGGGAGCTCCCAACATGGGCTTCGGAGGTTCTGTGAATTTCAATTAAAAACCGGAAAAAAGGGGGTATCCTCGGGAAATTCTCGCCCATATTATGTTTATGGTGTATCCCGGAAGGTGGGCCAAAATCATGGCAAGTTCCTGTGGTGGGGTGAAAGTAGATGGCACATTTCCCTCACTTTGGTTTAGTCATCCCCCTCAGTCGCGTAAATAGGAGTTTGCCATTTCACCCTGCTGTACGTTTGGAACCCAAATACCGTCAGACAAAGAGGACCCCCTACAGAAAGTCCCGTTTTTCCCAGAGGGCCTTGCAGTACTCTGAAGCAGTCTAGGTCACGTTTGCTCAAACCCGTTTGCGGGCCTGTTTCGAAGTCTCCGCCCCGCACTGGATACATGCGTGAACAGGGGTCCAGCCACCTTCTTGATTGGGGGCTATTGCCGTTGGACAACGCTGACTGTTGTGACCCCTTCCAACCGTTTTGAGAGTTGTCCAATGGAAACAAAATAGTACCTCGCATCTCGGCTCTGAAGTTGTCGCTGGCAAGGCATTTTCAATGAGCTTTGGCAAACTAGCAAATGACAAATTCAATTTGCATTGCAACGCAGCTGCGCGCGAACAAGGTTGCGCAACTGCACGCCTGCAACGGGGGTTTGCGGGGGTTCAGGCAAAGACGACTCTTTGCTCGAGTCCTTGATTTCTGGCCAGTTATGATTGATTGATGGATTGGATCGGATTGGATGGATTGGATTGATTTGATTTGATTTGATTGTTTGTTTGTTTGGTTTGATTTGGTTTGATTTTGTTTGGTTTGGTTTGTTTATTTGTTTGTTTGTTTGTTCTGTTTGTGGTTCCTACTGGTAGAGAATGCCCAACAGAACTTCGCGCATTTCGCACCGCGCCACTTTTTGAAGGGGACTCCAAGAAGGACCCAACATATGTTTCGCGTGCTGCCCTTTGTTCGGGTAGAAAACCTGCTTCCCTATCCAAGTGCACCTCGCCAGGCCATGCTCTCTCCATTGTGCTGATGAAGGACAAGGAGTGCAGCGTTTATTGCGCTGGCAACTCGCTGCGATCACCATGTTGAGTCTCTAAGATGGATTTGTGTGCTGTTGTGTTTTGTTTTGTTTATTTGTTTTGGTTTGTTTTGGTTTGTTTTGGTTTGTTTTGGTTTGTTTTGGTTTGTTTTGGTTTGTTTTGGTTTGTTTTGGTTTGTTTTGGTTTGTTTTGGTTTGTTTGTTTGTTTTTGTTTGTTTGTTTGTTTTGTCGTTGACTGCTTGTTTGCTTGCTTGCTTGCTTGCTTGCTTGCTTGCTTGCCTGCCTGCCTGCCTGCCTGCCTGCCTGCCTGCCTGCCTGCCTGCCTGCCTGCTTCATTGCCTGCTTGATTGCCTGCTTGCTTGCTCGATCGGTCGGTTGGTCGATTGTTTGTTGGTGCTGCTTGATTTTCTTTATGTTGTCCTTTTCTTTCCTTTCCTTGATTTGCTGTTCTTTTCGCTTTGCTTGCTTGCTTGATTGCTGGTTGGAGAAATTGGAACAGGCTAGTATGTGTAACTAGACATCACTACATGGCCAATCTAGCTCAGAATCCAATAACAATGCGGTTGGATGGGTAATGACGACCATGACTCGTCTTCATACCGATTCATTGTATCTATGTTTGGTTGATACAATCTTACAAGCGTTATTCAGAATGGTCCGAATCTACCGTCACAAATCCGATTTGCCTCGCCTTTATTTTGGGTCACTCTCCCCTTTTGTTTTTTTTCCTCGGGGGTGCTTCAATTGTTTATCTGTTGTTCAAGGCATTTTCGAGGCTTTAGGTTGCCAATGACCACAGGTATTCCTCGGGGTGGTTCAAGGGTTTTTCTTTTTTGTTTAAAGGCGGTTCGATGGTTTAGGTTGCCAAGGTTTAGAGCAATGAACACCACCAGTGGTTTTGTTCGATCTCCAGGAGCACCTGGGTGAGTGGGAGACGCCCTTTCAGCTGCTTGGCATCCGCGCATTCGGCGAATGGATTGGGGGTTGGATCAAATAGACCAAGCAAATGGACTGTTACCCCCAAAAAAGGGGGGATCAAAATTCCGTTGGGACGAACCACACATGACCAATATTTGTTGTTCACCATGTGGTTGTCAGATCTTTTTGGTGGTTTCCATGATTGTCTCCTATATCGGACCGTGTGATCAACCCTAGGTGTACCCATTGGTCGGGTATGCCAACCGATTGTTGCTAGTTTGTGATCAATCTGGGTGGGACCTCTACTACCCTCGGATCACCACCTCTAGGGGAAGACGTGGTATTGCAGTGGGAGGTATGCAGGATGTTTTCTCAACAGGGTGAGGGTGTATGTTATGTGTGCTCAAACTAGGATGACTTTCACGAGCAGTGGAGCGGAGGTAGGTGCGTGTTTCCTGCCTTCTGTGCAGGGTCATGATTTTTGCAGAGCATGCGGAGCATTGATGAGCTAAGCAGCTCTGACATCCGGGGCATGGTGCTCGCCCTTTCAGGAACTGCGTCGTGTTAAAGCCCTTAAAACCAATTCTTCCATCAGCCCCAATTCTTAGCTTTGCCATCGCCTCTCAATCCAGTCGCTAGATGTTTGCAATAAAATGCTACCCAGCAGCTGTAGCCTTGACAATTCGCAACCGATTCGTGGCACTCGGCCCCCCTACCCCCCCCCCCCTTTTGAAGACCTCTCTCAAACGCAGCACGCCGACCGTCACCAGAGCTGAGGCTTGCCCTGCAGCATCCGCTGATGCTGAAGAACTACGACGAGCTGGAGGATGTCATGGAGGCCAGTGCTCGGGAACCAGTTCTTCCAAGCGAATTCGCCTGAGACAAACCTGGTTGGCTCCCAACCATCCTCTAAGGGCTTTAGCTTTTTGGTGTTTAGTGGGGTTTTCCATTGAACCTTTTGAAAGTTGAACTTTTAGCAGGGGATTTGCTACATTCCCAGCCTGTCAACTAAAGCGTGGCACTGCACACATTTTCTCCAACAAATATGGAAGTGGAGCAGGGGCTTATTTGAAGAGGATGGTCGTTTTCCAACCCCCCCTTCTCATCATGTTCGTATTGGTTGGAAACTCGGGTAGCTCCTTGTTCTGCCCGAATGGTGTAGACCTTTTTTAGGTGAATGACAAAGTGTTCACACCAACTGCCTTCCAACTGTATAGATAGATAGATCGATAGGTAGATAGATAGATAGATAGATAGATAGATAGATAGATGTTAGAATAGCTTACACAATCAGCTTTACTTGGTTTCCACGAGCTTATAGTCCAGGGGGCAAACACCATATTAGTCCGGCTCCGAGCACCTGAGAGCTGGGGGGTTGAGGATGGTTGAGGCGTGAGCTCCTTCAGACAGGCACCGGCCCCCTCTTCAAAGGGCGCCCAGGTTTTTGCCCGTGGCTACCGGAGGTCTGGGGACCATATACTCCGAACTCCCAGTCTAGCGGGCTGGGCGGGTTGTCAGCTGGAAAAAACTGCCGGTCCGGGAGGAGGGATGATGACTGTTTGGTTGTTGTTTGTAGGGCAGTTTGTGTGTGTTTTTTGCAAGGGGCGCCACCTATTGTTTGGGGGGAAGCCTCAAATGGAAGCCATCTCTTTGCTAGGGTTTCCTATTTGAAGACAACCCATTGTTCGGGGTAACCTTAATCCGATTCCTTTTGAGACAAACCCCAGCTCGCCATTTGACGATAGGCAGGGAGTGAGAAATGGAATGGCCCTCAAAACAACCATCCAACTGGTGGTTATCATTCCATGTCTCATTCCCTGCTTATCGCACCAGCAAGTTTAGGTTGGAAGACGGGAGATGAGGAGCTGTTTTGACAAAGACGTGTATGCGCTTGTTGGCAGGATACATCCACCAAACCGGAAACGCAACCCATACTGCTGGGGTCATTATTTTGACCGTTTCTAGGGGTTGTCAAAGTCAGATATTGGGGTTGCTTCCTTTACTCTACCACTTGGGTTGTTTTGGCAGGTGGAGATCCATCCACCCATACTGGGCAACTGCTGGGGCTGGGTGCGGCTCAGATTTATCTTCTAGGTCCCCAGCTAGGTGCCCTTTCTCACCCCTTTTTCGGTTAGGAGGGAAACCCCCTACTAAAATAGACGTCTTAAGAAAAAGTGGGTACCCTTATTCTAACGTGTCTACTGGAGGACCTAGTCCCGTACCCCCAACGAACATCCCAATCCCCACTAGACTAGACTAAAATGGGTGGTGCACCCACCCCAAAATGGGATCCCAAAACGGTTTTGCCCCACAGCCATGTGTCTCAGCGCTGTTTCAGGCGCTGCGGGAGGACGAGGAGGACCGGAAGCGCCTGGCACCGGAGGAGCGGCGGGAGCTGCAGCGCCGGCTCCAGGACTGGCAGGAGGAGACCGGGGCGAGCGAAGCGACTGAAGGGGGCCGGCGGGGCGACGAGGTCTGTTGGCTGCGGGTTTCATCTGGGGAAACCAAATGGCAAGCGGTATATTTTTTTCACAAGACACGCGCATGTTGACTGTATTTGGCGGCGAGTTCGTTTGGGTTTTGAGTTGGGTGAGTTGTTTTTTCTGGATTTGGAGGGAAACTAAGAGGAAGCCCAAAAACATGGGTGTTCCAAAATAACCCCCATTTCTGGCGTGGTGTGTAGCCCAGCTTTTCAGAGCCCAGCTTTTCAAAGCATTTTGACTGTGGGGATTCACTATCAAAGTCAGAAACTATTGGTTGTTTCCCTTTAGTCAGCCTACCAATAATGGCGGGATAATGGGTCCAGTCCCTGCCCTTCATCCAACCAAGGAACTCGACAGAGAAGTTCCTCGAAAGGAAAGTAGTCTTGCAGAACCCTCCTGTCAGCTGCCATGATGGTTGAAGGGACGGTATTTCGGCGTGGCTTGTTTCTGTGGTTTTGTACCCTTTGTGGTGCGGCTTCAAAGGGAAACCCATCGGAACACCGAAGCCTTTGCTGGGGATTCCCCTAATTTAACCTAAGGGATGTCCCCTGAAAGGGTGGGAATCTATTACTACTGGAAGTATTGCTTTTTTTGCAGGAGGCTTAAGCAAATGGAAGGGTTAGGGTGATTTGAAACATCGCCTTTGGCGCCACTTGAAGTGAGCGTCCCTTTTGTGGAGACCTGGCTCGGCTTGAAGGGACGGGGAGGGGATGAGGTCGCCTCACATCTTTGGACTCCGGTGCCGCCTTGGGCTAGACACCAACCCAGTTCATTGATTTTGGTAGGTTTAGTTGTTGTTGTTTTCCTGAAAACGAGGGTGCCAACCATCTAAGAATAAAACCTGAAAAAGAGGGTGACAACCATCTGAGAATAAAAGACTCTCGAATAAGTGGGCCTAGGCTTGTTGACCTGTCTTCCTCTGAGTGCAACTAAAGAACCTCGCAATCTAGCTGTCTCAGTCAGGATCTGCCTGAGCATCGGTCTCACGAGCCGAGAAGGATCCCCTTGCTGGGAACTTCATGAGATTACCGCCCCAGACGGTGGCTATTTCCTCACTGGTAGCTCTAAGGAGGCGCTTCTCCCTCCCTCAAACCTCTCTGAAGCGATCAAGTAAACAGGCAAGAACGCTTTGGGGTTAACTCACACCGTGAACAGGTTTTCTGAAACAGGTTCCAGCTTGCACCTGTCTACTAGGTAACCAAGGGCACCACCCTTCGAAAGCCAAAAAGAAAAGAGCTGGTCACCTAATGTCACCTACTATGGTTTGCCTGGAATCCACTGGGCCAGGCATCAGCTTCCCGACTTCCTTCCAATTGGTGGTTTGGATTGGTGTGGTGGAGGGGGTTCCCAGCTACCCTCTAGGTTCAAATCCCCAAACCAATCCAAACAACCAAGGGGGGGTTGGATGATGGATGGAAATGGATGGATGGAAATTGCCTGGGATCTACTGGGCTGGGCGGTGTTGGGGGCGAGCTCCCAACGGCATCTCGCGAGCCGAAGCGAGGAGCGCTTCGAGCTGATGCCGGGGGCGCGGCTGCTGCCCAACAGCCCCGAGCTGGGCTTCGCGCTCCGGGAGGCGAAGACAGAGAGGGGCGCCCGCGTCGGTTTTGCGGGGGCGTGAGTTAGTGTTTTCGGAAGGGACGCAAGGGGAGAGATTTCTGGGCGTGTGGTTTTTGTTTGGAAGGCAACTCGTTGTTTTGGCGGTGAGCAAAACGCCTTTTGGCAGTTGCTGTTTGGAAGGCAGCCACTGTTGGCAAGCGAGATGTTTATTTGCAGCTCTAACTACTCAGGATTGAGTAGCAAAGAGTTATCCTTACGGTCTGGGTCTGGCCCAGATGGGGCGTGGCTTCTTGGGTTGCCCCTTTTGAGCTATCGAATGACGCTTCCGTTTGCTAATAGCCAAACTGCGTGCAATGATCTAGCGACTCGTTCGACACCCAGGTGCCTTTATTTTGGGAGCCCCGTTTTGGTCGGGGCAAGCCCTGATCTTGTCCTTGGCCAAGAAGTGCCTAATGTCCACGCATACTGAATGCAAGTTGCTGCGCCAACTTGTTTAGCTGCCTTAAAACAAAAGTTAAAAGTATAAACATAAAAGACCAGCATTTGGGAAACACGATACCCCAACTGCGCCAAACCTTTGGCGGATTGGGTAGGGGCTAGCAGCTACCCTTCTGTTGGGACGGTATTTCAGAGAAATGTCATCATAGGATCCACCCCTCCCCTAGCCCTGCCCTCCCCCTATCCAACCACTTCTCTGATACTTTTGGGAATCTCCCCCTTTTTTCCTGGGGGTTAGCCTTTTTGTTGTATTACAGAAGTGCCCCAGATGGCCAAGAATTGGGGAGAGGTGAGGGGCGGGCTGTCCTCTTGCGGACTTCCCGGCAGGCCAGCTGAGACTTGTGCTTTCCAGGCGCGGGAGAGCACGGTCTTTCAAGGCTTTGTTAACCACCGAATAGACATCTGGACGTAGTTCCCACTATACATGGTCAGACTCACCACATATGTTGGGGCTGAGGTAGGACTCATCAATTGCTAGACCCAAAAACCATTGCGAAAGGTACATTCCCCTTCGACCCCCTCAAAAGGAATTGTCAAAAAGCAAGTCCCAAAGCGCATCTGGCCACCTTTTGCGCTACTGGTTCAAATGGCACACTTGCGTAGGGGAGTGTTTCAACAAAGCTCGAACCCTCGAGCAGGTAAGTCCAAAATTGTTGCTAAACCAGGGGGCTCCACAGAAGTTACCAGTCATCCCACTGTTTCAACACTTGAGTTGCCATTTTGATTCCAGCAACTACTAAACACAGCAGGCCAAAATGCCGGCTTTGGACAACTGAGTGTAAGCACGGGACTGTGACAAGACATCGGCCGAGTTTCAAACAGTTCAACCTTTCAAACCATACACTGTAAGAAGGAAAATGCAAACATCTCACGCCTGCGTGCACAGCAGAGCATGTTCCACTTGCCGTAGCTACGCCTAGCCGAACCCCAGCCGCGCAATGTGCATTGCTCAGGCGAGCTGCGAGAGAGTTGAGCGGAGGACAAAAAGCTGAGGTGCCGGGGTGGGCCAATGTGAGCTGGCAAGTTTGTGCAAAGCCACGCGAGTTCAACCTACACATGGGTGTGGGTCAAAAATCGGTACCCAAAATGGAACCCTGGTAAATGGACAAGTTGCCTAAAACCTGCGGTCCCCCGGTGTTTTAATTTTGATCAACACCTACATTGGCACCCACAAGCTCATCATGTGTGGGATCGGAATCTCCTCCTCAGGTGCCACTTTGGGGTTCACGACCCGGATGCGTTTGTCTCGGTGATGTCAAGGGGACCCCGTTTCAAGGGACTGCGTTTGAGAAAGACCATCGCTTTTTGGGCGATTTGTCCGAGCATGAAGGGCAGGAAGGCCAAGCGCCCCTTTCCTTCTAATGTCCCCCATGCGGGTGTGGGTCACAACCAATTCGATCCCATTTTGGGGTTTGGGTGCACCACCCATCTTAGAACCGATTTTAGTGGTTGGATTGGGATGCTCACTGCACAGGTACGATTTGGATTTTGACCCATGGCCATATCAATCAGCCCCAGTTTAGGTGCTTCTCCCCGAGTTTGGGACCTTTTGGAGGGGCCAAAGCTCAACACAAATTGAGTCATCCGGGTGCCAGGCGAACTGTGGGGGCAGAGCTTGGGGAAGCTTCGGCCTCTCCGGCACTGAGGTGGCTGTGGCCCAGGCTTCGGCAACCGGAGGAGCTCGGGGAGGGCGGGTTCTTTTTGTTCAGCCCGGTGACGCGTCGGTTTTCAGCTGGCGGCTTTCGGAAATGCGCGACCCCCCCAGAATTTTTAGGGAAAATATTTACAGACTACTCAAGACTCAGCACTCGGGATGGGACATGTCCACTTTCGTTCATACTCTGCCGCCTTTCCTTCAATCTCTCCAGTGCCATGTCTTCTCGCCCCCGAGAAATTTATGATGGGAACCCTGGAGTGACAAGTCTGCTTCATTAATAGTCCCGTTTGGCAAGCCACAGTCACTTTTGCGGAAACGTCTCCTTTTCCATGCTGATAGTCAATCCGGGTTGACTCATAGCCCTTCCATCATCGAGCTTTCTCCCAGCCTCAAAACACACCACCCCCGCAACCACGCCTCCAAAAATGGTCTACTCTATTTCAGTCTTTCCCAAGGGAGCGTGTGTGTGTGTGTTTTTTGGGGGGGCCGGGGCGTTTTTGTTTGTTGTTGTTTCCTCTTTTTTTGTTGTTTTCTTCTTTTTTTAACAGGGGTCTCATTGATTCCAGGGTCGACGCGAGGAGGACTCCACCTATCACGGCTGGTTCCACCGGAGCATTCCGCGGTATCGGCTGCCGTCGAAAACCAGGCGGGCGGAGAGGTTCGGGGACTGGGCCGGAGTCACTTGAGCCACTCGCTCAAAACCCGGGGATTGATGAAGGTGAGTAAGGGACAATCCCCTTGCCATAAATAGCTGCGGAATTCCGCCTTCTTAATTCTTGAAGCATGGTTCTGGGATTACGGCCATTTTAGTACAAAGGGTTTTGATTATGACTCACTTGGTTCTGTTGGTTGATGTGGCCATGGGGCATAACCGATGGCGATCCCATTTTGGAGTGGCTGAACAACCATCTGCAACCTATTTTTGATGTTCACCAGGGGTACAGGGTTTTGACCCACAGCCATGTGGGTCTTCCAGTTTGGGGGTCTTCCCACCCCAAAATGGGTCGGGTGTTCCTGGTGGCTTTCCTGCAAACCCGCTAAAAAGGTCAGGGGTATCAAACCGAAGTCCAGCCACCCGTGTTTTATGTTGCTTTCTGGGATCCTTTGTGGTCCCGTTGACTGTTTCTCTGACTACCCCGCTTCGAGCGGTCCAAGATTTGCCCTTCCAGCTAGGAGTCATGCAATACTGTGGATGGACAAAATCCTGCACCACTTGGAAGCCATGGGAAGCCGTTATTTGTTGGGTATTTACAAGAGAACCATCATTCCAGTGCGTTTTTGAGGTGGTGCCGAGGATTTCGCAACCGTCCAGTCTGCCCCGAATTGCACCAGAAGACCTCGTGGCCACAAGCTGCGCTCGGCTTCGATTTGAGCTTTGGAAGGCATGGGCCTGGATGTGTCGGTGAAGTGGCCACATCCACTTCGCCCCGGGTCCCCAGAGAGCCTTCCTGTGGTTATTATATTTCAATTATGTAGGTCTTGCTTCTTTCTTAAAAATAAGAAAGAAGGAACAAACACATGTATCTACAACTTTGGTGTGAAAAGAAGGTGCCAATCAGATTATGTTCTTCATTTGCATGGCATATCCACCGTGCTTCTTAGCTTGGGATCAAATCGCAAGGGCACATGGTTGATCTCTAAGTACACAGATGGTACTTCACTGCTCTTGGCAAGCTTGTCATCGTTTTGCTTACCTGTTGATTGATTTATTTACTTACTTATTTATTTGTTTTGGGGGGGGTACTGTTCAGTTTTAGGTTTTTTGGGCCTGCAAACAACATTCAGTTTTTTGCAACCACACCCAAGGGTTTTGAAGTATGGCTGATGTCTAAATACCCCGAATCAGGATGTTTCAGGGGTTGCGAGGATCTGTTTTCGCAACCATATCTTCACAACACATATATGCTTCCATTTGCTTAAGAATATCAACTTTTCTTTATTCAGGGGACAAACAAAGCAAATGGATGTATGATGATGTATGTTTTTTTTGATCATCCCCAAAAAGGCGAGTTCGAGGGAGCCCCAAGTGGGCCACACCCCCAAATCGTTCAGCGCCATCCTTCGCCATTCGGCATCCTTCGGCATCCTTGCGCGTTTTCTCCCGGAGCCAGGGGCGGCGATCGCGAGGTGTCCGGCACTCGGAGAGTGGAGAAGCCAAAGCACAGGCACTGAGACCCGCAAACGAAGAACACGAGGGGCTTTGCATTTACTTGTTTACTAGGTCCCCAGAATTGTGCCCTTTTTAACACCTTTTTTGGGGGGAGGGTTCCGGACCCTAGCAGAATAGACTATCGGAAAAAAATGGTTCCCTTGTTCTAACCTCTCTACTGGAGGACCTAGTTTAGCTTTGCTTGGGAGGGGGAGGAGGAACCTCACTCTTGTTGGTTTTGTTGGGGGGGCTCAAAGAACAACACCAGAAGCAACAGGAAGAAGAGACACACGCCAGGGGGGGGTTGCCTCGAATTCACCTTGAGCCTTGGGGAGTTCTCATCGCTTCCACGCAAAATCAAAGCAAGACAACAGACACACGCTGAAAAAAAACAAACGCATGCAATAGCTGCAACATGGTGTGAAATGTGTTGAAAGGAGCCAACAGCGAAGGTAGACGAAACTGCATTTTGTGAATTTCAAAATCGATGAATGCCTTGATCAAACCCGGAGCCCAGACTGTGGCCCAGTCAGGTTCAGGGTTCAAAGGGAAGCCTGATCGCCCACATATGGGTCAACATAGGGAACGCACCCCCCCCAAAAAAAAGCAATTCGTGACCAGCACCCTCCAAGGGTGGTCCATTTGTACCTGAAGTGCCCTTGTGTGAGCCTTTTGGGACACAAATGGACCACTTGTCGGGCGATGTTCTCGCCCCGGAACAACTTCCCCCCCCAAAAAAAAATAAGCAACTAAACAAGTAGGTTCCTCCCCCCAAAAAAAACAACTAAATACACAGTAACCAAACAAAAATAGAAAATACAAAAAGTAAACCAGTAAAATGCAAGGTCCAAATCAATGTGAGATTCCGATAAATTTCCGCTATGGAGCATGCGACTGAGTCGACTGAGGCCAGAGCCCTTCGACCTGGGTGACCAGGGAGAGCGCAAGGCGGGCGAGCGAAGGGAAGGAAGAGTTTTCATTGTTTCTCATTTTGCGGCACAGGTTGACCTTCCAAAAAGGACAGGCCAAACTTTGATCATTTCTTGCTTCACCAAATCCCGCAGTGGGGTATGAATTACTTTGTTGGGCCTCAGCTCATTAGGCCTTCACAGGGGCCATGGCGCAATGGTAGCGCGCTCGTGTTTCTCGAAACCTCGGGAGGTTGCAGGTTCAAGTCCTGCTGGTCCTATTTTTCCTTGACATGTTTGTTTCTGGAGCCAGCCAAAGTTCACCCGAAGTGAAGATCCCTCATCTGTATGTGTTTCTTTTTCGTTGTTCTGCTGATTCAAATCATCTCCATCGGAGGTGAGGCACTGGCTTCGACTGGCGGACTTCTTCCAGCTGCCCGGTGTTCAGGCTGGAGTGGCTGGGAGTAGAACGAGAGAACCACGACAGTAAAGAAACTCGGTAAAGAATGAATTAGCTCCTTACAGTTGAATTACTTATGAATTACAGTTGAATTAATTAGCTCCTTATGAATTTACTTATTACTAGCTCCTTACAGACCATTGCAGTGGACCTTTGCTGTAG